TCCGATCTATATACGGCAACCTTAAATTATTTCCTCTCTGAAAAGATAGGTTAGGTGGTTGTGAGCTGTTTTGTACAAATAAATGATACGTATGACAACTTTGGCCCTGCTGTTGCTAGTTTATGAATTAGTTTCAATAATTAATAATAATAATAATAATAATAATAATAATAATATTGGGGGGCGATTGATTTTGTTTCGGAAATTTTGAAGCGCTTGTGATTCAGTCGATTGATCCTAATTTTAAGCTTCGACAACTTGATTTAGGCTGTTATAGCCATTTTAGTGCTAAAAATAATCTTTAATAAAAAACAGACAAGTATCCTACATTATGCGTAATCGGGCTAGCTTCTCACTTCAAGATAATCAAAGACCCAGCTCGTACAACTCGCTACGCCAACATCTCGCGAGGGCGACAGAAGGCGTTACATGTTGATCCTTGGCTAGGCCAACTTCTTGACCAACCTACTTGACCGATCATTCGGCCGACATCTCACGAAAGCGACTCAAAAGACAATACTTCTCAACCTTCCACCGGACAAGTAGAAAGGCAACGACTACCTCAAGGCTTGAGCCCCCTTCCGCGCACTGACAGCCAATCACCTCACAGTAAATGTCATTAAATGCATAATAGACGACATCATTTCTTTGCCCTCAATAGTCTTTATGACACATCGGACTACGTCGGCACCACACGCCCCCCATCAGTTCACATTAAATACCGAAGTGACCTCTCTTCGTCGACCGACACCTGTAAAGCAGATGCTGACTTGATCGCCAGCCCATACTCGGTCGAAGTTATCATCCTACCGCCCTACTACCACTATAAATAATGGTATTATTTTCAACAATAAGGTAAGATCTTGATCTCTACCCACTATGCTTAAGAACTTGTACAATTCAGTTATTTCTCTACTCAAACAAATTACTAACTTGATCGTCGAAGGAACAACCGGAGAACCCAACTCCGCTCTCTTACAATTTGCTACTTGTGCAGGGAAGAATAGCCCACCTCAGAACCGGACATTCGGAGGGTTAGAGGACCTCCGTCAACCAGATCACTACTCTCATTGACTGTTTGATATCAGCCATCAACATAGACAAACATACTTGTGGACCAGTAATGTATGGATTTTTTAGTATCAACAACTTGATTTAGACAAACATGCTCGTGGATCGGTAATGTGCGGAGTAGTGATGTTTTATTAATTTGTCAATCAAAACTAACATGAAATGAAAGTTATTATCCAAATTAATTTGGAAAATAAAAAAGGTCTAACAAAACACTAAAATGATTTTAATAGATGAGTTAATATAAAGTAATTAACATCTCAAATAGTAGTAGTAGTAGTATCAGACTTGTGATCTCTCTATATATGCATTTTTTTTTTCCAAAGCCCCAACTCCTTAATCAGAAAGATTGAAATTTTATGAGAACACCAACATAGGACCGGGTTATATAATATACCGTTACGGTTGTTGGAGTCGTAGTTTGAAAGCTGTAGCTTTAGCTCTTCGATATGTATAATGTATATATATAAGGAAGGTGCTGACAGCCTCATCCGGTCATCCCTACAGCTACAGGCATTGTAGAATTCTTATTTTGTCGGATCCAGTTTAGAACAAGATATGTCATGATTGATACTTTTCTAGCAGTAAAAAATCGAATACTTATGAAGTATCGTATGATCTTTTAGATTTGATCGCACTATAGAGTGTTTATTTCCTCCAACTTATTAATGGACGTCCAGATATAGAGTCTAGTCTATAAATTGAACTTTCGGCCAAACTTAGCCTTAACATTCGTGTTTTTGAAGGCCAAAAACAGTGAGACAACAACAAAAAAAAAGGTATATAATAATAATAATAATTAGAGGAATGAGACGACAGCAAAATACAATTTAACTGAGAAAGAAATGTCCTTGATATTATCATGTACAAGCATTTTGACTTGATGGGTGTATTTTAAGGAAGGAAAAGAAAGAAAGCCCCTTTAAAGCCCAGTATTCATTTTGTTTCCGGGGGACCACGTGGCGACCCAACTGACGGAAGCTTGGCTGTCGTTTTTTGGACCCACTCTTCCTTTTTATTTATTTTTCCTCGTTATTCCCTTCGTATGCGCTTTCGCCCTCTTCGCG